CACAGTGGGTTTGACCACAGTGGATCACAGAGAGGACACAGTGGGTTTCACCACAGTGGATCACACAGAAGGCACAGTGGGTTTGACCACAGTGGATCACAGAGAGGACACAGTGGGTTTCCCCGTGGATCGCACAAAAGACAGAGGGTTTGACCATGGATCACACAGAGGACGCAGTGGGTTTGACCGCAGTGGATCACACAGAGGACGCAGTGGGTTTGACCGCAGTGGATCACACAGAGGACGCAGTGGGTTTGACCACAGTGGAACAGACACAGGAATGCTGTCAGTTTAAATCTAGATCACATGTAAAATGTATCTTAAATGTGCATGCACTCCCAGCCACAATTACCAAGATATATGGTTAGAATATTGACGAACAGATCTACATTGACTGACTCTGGACACAAAGAACACATGCAGTGCACCGTTTTCATTCTACAGTGCAGAGATGACATGCGTTCAAACCCCACCAAGACCTGCCAACCCGATTATACAGCAAATTCTGTATTACCGCTGAATATTTCCTTCTGTTTCAATGTAATAAAAGACTGTAAACAACATCTATAAATAACTGCTGTACCGGCATGTTTGATATGTTTCGGGCAAGAAAAACCTTTTGTTTCATCGAAACATCTACTACCTGAATCAGCAATGATGGTGGTGGTGATGACACTTTGGGTACTGACCGGCTGCGTTGTAGGAGTGGCCGCGGTGGACCGGTGGTACCTGACCGGCTCCGTTGTCGGAGGGGCCGCGGTGGACGGGTGGTACCTGACCGGCTCCTTTGTCGGAGGGGCCGCGGTGGACGGGTGGTACCTGACCGGCTCCGTTGTCGGAGGGGCCGCGGTGGGCCGGTGGTACCTGACCGGCAGCGTTGGTAGAGGGAATGCGATGGGGTGACGGTAAATGACCGGCGGCGCCGCAGGAGGGGGTGCGGCGGGCCGGTAGTACTTGACCGGCGGCGCCGGTACAACGGGGGCCGGAGGCCAGCGGTACGTGACAGGCGGAGCGATCCTTGGTGGTTGGTGATAGTAGTGATAGCCATACAACCTGTGATTATTGCCGTGTACTTTGGGCCACCAGAGGGGAGAAGCGGTAGAGCAGTGATTAATGGGCCAGCGGAACGGTCATTTCGGATGGAGATGCGTCAGTACAGAAGCTCGCCCGAGGCTACGGCGTCTCTCGGTGTAAATGCCGGTCAATCTAGCATTTCAGATAATTTCTCAGTTTCGGCAAATATTAGCCTACATGATAAAAATCACGAAATGTATTTAATAAAGTATGAAAGAGCTAGTAGAAGCTTAAAGCATGTCATCTAAACAAATAAACAAATACAAAAATGCTAACAGACATCTGTAAATCCTACTAATAATATCACCAAAGTTCTCATAATATACAAACAGAATGTACGAAACAAGCACAAAGCGACAGAAAAATTACCGATTGTCATAGCACATTTTTCCATAAATATATGACAGTATAATAATATACCCTGTATGGACTGTAAAGCGAGCAAAAGGCATTTCGCTTAAAGTGTGAGGGGAGGACACGGCTGCAGAGGTGAGGATGGCACGGCACTGCGGACTTTCACAAGTAAAAAAGTGCGCAAAAATCACACTCTGCTGTAAGGCTGCAATGAACCTGCGCTGTTCATGGGTCCATGCAAATGTGATATTGATTGAAATTTGATAAATTGCGCTGAAAGATGTATAGATTAAATCTTAATTAGGCTAATTGTGTGTATGTGTGTGTATTTCAGATCTGTTGCGTAGCCACATTTCTGAAGCCTCATCAACTAGTTTTGAAAGTATATATATATATATATATATATATATATATATATATATATATATATATATATATATATATAACACTACAAATCAATGCCTTAATCCTCACGATTCGTGTTTTAATTCTTCCGATTATGATAATCATCATTATGAATTAGGTGGAAGAGTGGCGGCTAAAGAAAATTGTCACCTACCCCCTGCACTGAGGCCATTTTGCGCGGGCTGGATGTTTTGCAGGTAACTGGACCTTGCCGCAGGTCGATCGGCGTAGCGTCCCGGATGATACCCGTAAAACCGGTAGGTTCCCTGCACCTCCAGCACCAGGGCAGAGAGGTACAGTGCCAGACATCTGCCTACGGCGTTCATGCTTTCGCTACAGATGGTCCTTCGTCCCTGCCCTCTCTCGATGGGTGAAAAATACGGCCTGAAGGAAACGGAGGGGTCAGATTTAAAGACCAGCGAAGGGGCCACATGTGACGATCTGATCCAATCCAAAGAAAGAATCTGGGAAGAAATACCGTCTATTCAAGAAGACCGCGCAGGTCTGCAGTGCCAGTCGCAACTACACGAGCCACGAAACAGATTCATATGATAAAAGCAGCATACAGTTGCTTTTATATAAATAAATGGCAGGGAAGTTAGACAAAACTATTACCAAAAGCTGTTTCATTAATTGAATACGACTTTTGTAAGCAATATGTGGCCTAAAGTCCATTGACAGAAAATAAAACAAGATAATCATTTGGGTTTTTATTTCAAAGCAAATGCTTGCAAAGCAGAAACGATTGGCGTTTGTCTATTTTGAATAAGGTACCCTTTTAGTTCAGTACCTCGGTCGCAGGTCTAATCCATACAACGATTACAGCAACAACAGCCCTTTTCAGAGCTGATTTCAGGGGTAAATTGTGACGTCTTTAGATTTATTCGTAGGTTAATTATTAAGAATGATTAAAAACCTACAAAAATCGACGGCTTTGCAGGTTCGGTTTAAGAAAGAATATCTTAAGAACATAAGAAATTTACAAACGAGAGGGGGCCATTCGGCCCATCAAGCTCGTTTGGGGAGAACTTAACTAATAGCTCATAGTTGTTAAAATCTTATCTAGCTCTGATTTAAAGGAACCCAGGGTTTTAGCTTCCGCTACACTAGCAGGAAGACTATTCCATACTCAAAGTCAAACTACATGCTGTGTAAAGAAGTGCTTCCTCAAATTTCGGACATTAAAAATATTGTAAATTGTTAAAAAAAATAGTGGAAATGACAGGAAACTCGGATTATACGGCCCATTCACTATTTCTGCACTAGATGGCGCTCTTTCTTTAGGCAAAAGCCGCAGCCGGCGCACACATGTTAAAAGTACCTCCAGCATTTTCAAAAATATTTTCTGAAAACAAGAATGCCATTAGTCCGTCATGTGGGCAGTTTTTTTTAGCTGAAAGACATCAGTGACTCGCATATTTCTCAACCGCAGACCTCAAGACTGCAGACTAATGCATGTATGTGCACGGATAGAGAAAAAGGGGTGGTAATTAACATCGAGGTGATGCATATGGGTAAGCGGGCACTAAAGCATCTGCGTTAGATTTCCGCACGTCTGTAAAAACTTCTGAATTATCTGTTACGTAAGAAAGCAATTAAAAGAAACGCCCAAGTCTGCAGTACATTACAAATGGCGGCATGGCTGAATGTTCTATCCAGCGACATTTGTAATTGTGATATTTTTAAAGCTGTATAATTTATTTAAAACAGAAGACTATAGCATGGCCCGTCCTGGGAACTGCCTTTGTATTACTGGTGCGAAAAGCTAAGACTTTTCGCATCTTGTGCCTCCTGTCCCAGGATACTCACCAGTCCACTGTAGGCACCACTTGAAATTAGGGGTGTTTAAAAAGCCCCCGACAGTAGTCACCGGACTATGAATCAGCCACTGTATTCATATCAGTTTCTATCAGGGAACTCACCAAACAGCGTGTACGAAATTGGCATCTCCTGGGACCTAAGATGAAAAAGCAAACTTAAGCAGTTCAATTAAGTTTGAAGTTATTTGCGCAAATTCCAGACGCATATTGTGGTCAAGGCCGTTACTGGAAGATCACCTGTTAAACATCTACAGTATGCTAACCATGCTCTTTAGTTAGCCACTTAAATTAATGTCATCGCTACCAATTCACGTCCCTTCGCATCCCATCCCATCACGTTCCATACCTGCTGGATAGCGCTGGCAGTAACATGCCCCGCAGCGGATTGGCGGGAGGGGGGCAGTGTAGAGGACAACACCGGCTTTTGTGTGAGTGTTTGGCAGTCACATGGTTTGTTTAAAGGAAAACCGGCGAATCACACACGCTCAGCCCTTTCGGAGGAAGGAGTTTATGCGTATACGTACCTCTGTCGGCAAACTGAACTGCTGAGTAAGCAGAGAGCCAACGATACACTGCCCGTGATTTAATGCCCCGTTTCCCGTTTGTCACGATGAAGGGCAGCCGGTCCCGTTCGAGGAGCAGACAGCAAGGCTCCCGCTGCCCCCCTCCGCTGGGGACCAGCAGCTCTCATTTCCAACCAAAACACATCTGCTTCAATTTCAAGCTAACTGAACGCAGAATTTCTTATAACCACAGTGCAAAAGCCCCTTAACCCAGTAATGGCCTAATAAGGATAAAACCTCATAAATCCATATGCATTCATATGTATAATGAACCTTTAAATGCTTCTAGAGCATCAGTGTTTCAAAATGTTTTAGTGTAAAACAAACACCAGTAGCTCCAGCAAAATGCATCTGTTAAACTGGACAGATGTAATGTTTGTGCACAGGCCATCCTGTCTTCTTTCTGGGGGGCCAAAATGTGTATGAGCCCCTCCAGCTAAGATTGTAATTTTGGAGCAAGACTAGTTCAATCAAGCCTTGATCAAGACCTAAAAAGCCGCACAGAACCACCACACCCCCAGGACCCCGCGAGGCTTCCCCTCCAGTTGTAAGCGCACTGGAGAAGCGCACTGGAGAAACGCACTGCAGAAACGCACTGCAGAAACGCACTGCAGAAACGCACTGCAGAAACGCACTGCAGAAACGCACGCGACACTGCAAGGTCTGTACCCACAGCCCCTATCGCATTCACATCACGGGCCGCTCACAGAGCGAGTTAAACCCACACACAAATACCACATGGCGGAGGAAGGTGGACTGACTCTGAGGCAGGATCAGCATCAGAATATGAGACAGGGAAAAAAGCAGGAATTAAGAATAACTCACTTAGTCACATCTCCTGGGAGGGAGGGGAGCCAAACCCTTAGTGAGACCACTGACAGCCCCTCTAAGAACTTCTCCGTGAGACTGTCAGTAGCTGGGCTGCTGACAGAGTGGGTGTAAAGCCAGCCTGACGTTAACAAGGTCCATTTAGACACCTATTCTGGTGCACGGAACCCAGGAGCAGAGGAGCAGGATTCAAGGCACTGAGGTCGGCGGAAACTGGGGCTCCTCCTACACAGCAGGTAATCCCAGGCGGGAACGATCACTGACAAGCGTCAAAGGGCCACAGATTTACTGTCTCTGTGTCACCTCACATGCCACTTGGGATTTTGGGGGATTTAATATTCAGGGATGATTTCAAACACTCACCCAAAAAAAGCCAAACCCCAATAGTCAAATGTAGAAACATAAGATGAGAACGGCTAAGGGGCAGAAGAGGACTCTGCTCAAAGAAGACCTCTGCAGGGTGTGACATGAAACATCTCCAGAACATCTCCCATTCTGTCACCCAGGTTCACAGGTCTCACCACCCATGTCGGCCAGTATTTTGGTCATGACAGGTTAACCCAGGCACAGGCGCGCTCACGCACACACACAGACACACACACACACACACACACAAAAAGGTCACACAATTTCTGGTCGATTACAAACTTCTCTAAATGTTTATTGAAGCTGTGTCCAAAAGGAACATATCACAGTCTGCAGCAGAGCCTCCAACATCAAAATCCTTGCTGTCTGCTGCGGCCCTGGCTCACTCCCCACCCCCACCGCACCCCCACCCTCAGAGACAGACACCCCGGCAGGGAGGAGGAAAGAAGTGCAAAAACAACCTTCAGAAACTAAAAAGGGCTCCTCATGGCATCACACCTTCACAATGATTAAGCTGCATTTAAAAGCAGGAAACTGGTGACAGTATTGATGAGAGCAGATCGTCTAAAGAGTTTGTCTTAAATACCTATAAATATTCACTTCACAAGAAGAGTGGTCCTAAAAACAGATTAATAATTAGCATTTTATGGCACAGAGATCCTATCAGGAGAAGAATGAAGGAAGAGAGAGAAGAAAGCTGAAGCCCCCCCCCAACCCAACACAAGCCCCTGCGATCACAGGATGTCACTTTGCACCCTCATCTCTAGGAAAGAGCAGCGGAGTTAGAGGGATAAGCTTGTTTCTGACTATTTACAGGCTTCTGAGTGGGCGGAGCCTCAGGCTGGTACGTAGGGGGGCGGCGGCTCTTTCTCGGGCATCTTCACTGCCATCTCATAGGTGGGCAGGACGTACTGTGGAGAGAGAGGACGACAAGGAGGGGGAGGTGTGATCACACGCTCGGTGGAGGCTCCAGAGGATTCCACAGGAAGGTCACAATACCTGGGGTGGAGCTTCAAAGGCGGGGTACACCGCGATCTCCGGAAGGTTCCGGTTATTGATGTATTTGTAGCAGTTCCACACACAGCTGATCAGATAGGCCTGTGGGCAGACAGCAGACCCCCCCAGCACACATAAAGATAAATACCTCACATCTCAGAGTCACACGCCATCCCGTGACTCACGCTGGAGGCGAGTGAGAGGGGAAACTCAGCGGGCAGCGGGCAGGCTGACGGAGGATTCACAGTTTAATCTCGTTTTAACACCCGGGAGGTAACAGGGCTTAACCACTGCGCAGTCAGCCTCTGCCATGGGCAGCCGGGTGAACTGCAGCCTCGAGTCAGCGAGTGTGACATCAGCTCGGAGGCCGTTTAGATACTGGGTCTGTGTGTCTGTGCTGGTGGGCGCGTGGGTCACCTTGAGGAAGATGAGGAAAGCGAAGAAGATGAGGACGATGAGCAGCAGGCAGCTGGACTCCAGGGACATCAAGCTGTCTTTGTACGGGAAGTCAGGCTGCGGGAGGATGTGGATGGGTCAGCAACACCAGGCCAACCGAAGGGAGAGAGAGCCAGCAGGCACAGGCCTAGAGAGCCGAGGACCGGCGCTCAGGCAGGAAGAGAGAGAGAAAAAGAAGACGTACCAGCTGCTCCAGGTAGTCCTTGATCCGGGGCAGGTAGGTGAGAGAGCTGATGGCCACCAAGCAGCTCAGCGCAAAGTCAAACAGCTGGTAGCAGAAGAAGGGAATCAGCCATCCATCGCGGTGCTGCGGGGCGAGAAGGGCAGCACGTCAGGCTCCGCACCGGCCCCCGGGGACAGACGCCCTTCCTAGCCATGGGCCGGGCCCTCCACCAAACACACGCCAGCTAATGCCTTAAAGAAACGCTACGCTGGGCCTGGAGCAGCAGATGATGCGGTTATGAATGATAATTACACACGGCACGCACACACACACACACACACACACACTTATATTCCTGTCGATTTGGGGACTGTCCATTCATTTTTATGGGCGTAACCCTAATCCCGACAATGACAACCTTAACCATAAGTAACCAAACAAAATACAGACACTCCCCGGGTTACGATGGCCCGTGTTACGATATTTTGACTTGGATAAATGTTTAACTTTCGATACACTATTCAATAAATTACATGAGATATTCAACACTTTTAAAAAAAAAATTAAATTAGACTTTGTGTTAATGATTTTGCCCAACTATTTGTTAGGTTAGGTGTGCTGTATTAATTACGATATTTCCACCTTACAGTCTCTCGTAACATAAATCCACTGTAACCCAGGGATACTTGGCATACTGACCTGTGCATCTTCGGAGAAAAACATCCGGCAAATAAATGGAAGAGAGAGAAGGGGTTCATGTGGACAGGTGTTGCCATAGAGATAAACATGGCTGCCTGCTTTATGAACACACAGTCAATGGACTGAAGCTGAGGGTTAGCAGGCAGGGGCCCGAGGCCTGATAATCGCACAGGAAGCAGAGGCAGTAAAGGGCTGGGGGGGGGGGCTGGGTAATAATCTGCCAGGTCACAGGACACGGTAGCCTTCATTCGAGGCTAGACACACACCCACAGGCAGAGCAGTCAGCCACCAAAGTGAGAGCAGCTGACATCCAGGGAATCATGGCATAAGGGCGACAGGATCATCTAAACGGCAGCAGCATCGCACTGGGAAGGCATGACAGGGACCAGTAAAATCGGCTGCCGTGGCACGGCCAGTATGGCCGACGCTGACCCGGCCCACAGTCACGTACAAGGCAAGCGGGGCAATCATCTCACCGGCCCTGCAACACTGGCTGAGAGCAACGTTCTTCTGCTCAACAGAGACGCGCGTAAACACACTGACAAGCTGCGAGGTCACATGATCAACCTGTGATCTGCTGGCTTCGCACTGCCCCCTGAACAGGGCAGCAGGGCCACTTACCGTGATGGCCCCGTACACCATCATGGCACTGATGGTGAACATCAGCAGCGAGATGGTGAAGCCCACGCAGGCGTTTTCTAAACAGGGGAGAGAGGAGAGAAGCTGCTTTAGAGGACAGCACTCACACACATGCATGTGCGCACACACACACACGCAATTTATAACACAAGGTTACTACCCTAAAATCTGTATATTAAATAGAACAACAAACGCGGACGTCTCCAGAAATAGCCACACTACACACCACAAGCGCTTCAGGCTTCATGAACGATCCTCATCTGTTCCTATTCATACGCCGTGAGGCAGCCGCGGTCAGCTGGGAGTCACTCAAGAAGCCGATCAATCGACCAGAGTCCATCAAGCACCTCGCACAAGTCTGCTGGCTCCAGCGGGAGATGCTTTTGTCCACAGCTGGACGGCTTCCAGGCTGCTCACAGCTCTGGCAGCGGGCGGCCTCTGTCTGCGTGCTCGGCCGGAGCTCGGGGGGGGGTTGGGGGGCGTGTAGGCACTAGCAGGGCGTAATTAAGTGGCCACGGGCCGCATCGATTTGCTGTCTAACGGGCTCCCAGGACTCTCCTCCACTTATCGGCGACACTAACGACCTGCTGCGGCTCCCGCCAACACGCGCCCTCAATCGAACACCAGCCGCTCTCCGCACCCAGTCCTGTCAGCGATGGGGCCGCATTTCTGCCAAATGTGCAGGGGGCTGGGGAGGGGCGGGGGGCCTGCAAAGAGGATTTGCTGGAAAAGCCAATATATTTTATGACCTCGGGCAGATACTAGTACATGAGTTTCAGTACATACAGGTCGGCTTAATCCCCAATTCTCAGGGCTAGAATAAAACACGATGGATCACACAACTACCCATCTACCTACCAACCATTTATCCTGGTCAGGGTGGGGGGCTGTAGCTTACCCCAGTCAGCATAGGGCACGAGGCTGTGGTACAACCAGGACAAGATGCCAGGCCGTCACAGGGCACACACACAATCATACCACGCAGACAATTCAGAGATACCAACTAGGCTAACTGCATAACACTGGGGGAAGATGCAGACTCCACACACAGAACTGAGGCGGGGGGGGGGGGGGTCTGACACCCACAGCTTGCAGAGTCCTCAGATTTCACAGGGAGGCGTGGCTATTTTCCTGGGATGCAAAAGATTCTGTCTGAAAATCTGGGAACCTGATTTCCCGATCCTGCTTAATGGTATTTATCCTAAGCGGTGTACATTTTGGAGAACGCCGAGTCAGAAAAATTTATGTTATTTATCTTTCATCCGAAGCAACGTACAAGTGAGGAGAACAGCACATAACACAGCCAATGTGTTAACTGGGCATAAGTGCAGCCAGGCTGAGCTGCCAGTGAAACGGCATCAGAGCAGGAGCTACAGAACGTCTTACAAACAAAGCTCTCCGGACTCTAGGATTAGAACCTGCGACCTAAGTACAGAAACAGCATCGTAACCCACTGCAGCAGGCACTGCCCCCTGCAACTGTATCTCAGTGAAAAGATCAACATGACACCCAGCTACACTGCTCTAACCTACCAAGAGCATTCAGGATACCCAGGGGCCTCCAACATCACAAGCTAAGGCATCAGAGCAACTGTTACCATAACAACCCAGCCGGAGGAGATGGGGATGTCATACCTGCCATTCTGTCAGAAGCAAAGTAGTGCTCGATGACCTCATACTGCAGGTCCACGGTGGGAACATTGTCAGGGTGGGTGACGGCCACGGTCAGCAGGATGCCCATCAGGAGGTTCACCACCTGCAGGGGGCACAAGACAGAGAGCAGGGATGAAACGCGAGACCCAACAGGCTGCCCGACGATGGCTGGATTTCACTCTGCGAGTGTCCAGATCTGAACTGGAGCCAATTCCAGTGCAAAGCCCTATCAGGTATACGAGATGAGTGCCTGGGAGCCCAAGCCATGAAGTGCCTTGGCCACGCTTCAGTGGCGACTGACACGCACCCGGTTACGTGATCGCCCTTCAGTCAGCGCACAGAGAATGCGACCCCACTCATAACCTGTGCCTTCCCAGCACAGCTGTTCATGTTTCCTGGACCCGAGCATCCGCACCTCCAAATGTCCCATGATGACAGCGACCCGGCACCGTTGGAACGATCGGCTCTGTAACCTGCGGAGCCACGAGTCACATCTCCATGACGACCAAACATGCCGGGACGAGTTTGCCAGGTGCAGCCGGCCGGGTGGTGTCATTCCCACCGTGGCTCTGACTAAATTTGGGTGGTCCCTCCCTTGGGATCGGCAAAGCTGGTAACGACTGAGCCGAGAGTCGCCTGAAAAATGGCTCTGGAGTGATTTTAAAGCTGCAATGGAACACACTACGCAGAAGCCCTCATTAAGCTCACAGGGCAGAGCGAACACTGTCGCATTTCTTACAGTAGTGTTCCTAAATGCACAGCCGGTGCTGTTAACTCTCAGCAGGCAGACTACACAACCACCTCGGAGGGACAATGTGACACGGATGCAGTAAGTGCACCTGAGCTCTGGGTATAAGTCACCCTGTATGCATCTCCCTGAGAAAAGGAGCCTCTTTTTACTATCGATGACAGGGCTACACCCCCCAAATCATAAGAATATAAGAAACTTACAAACGAGAGGAGGCCATTCGGCCCATCAAGCTCGTTTGGGGAGAACTTAACTAATAGCTCAGAGCTATTAAAATCTCATCTAGCTCTGACTTAAAGGAACCCAGGGTTTTAGCTTCCGCTACACTAGCAGGAAGACTATTCCATACTCAAACTACATGCTGTTCTCCCGCTAATTTCCACTTATGGCCACAAGTTCTAGTACTTAAACTAATATTGAAATAGCCATTTGGCTGAACAGCATCCAGACCTGTTAGAATCTTATATACCTGGATCACGTCCCCCCTTAGTCTCAGACACATAACACCGCTGTCCCGGGGGTGGGCAGTGGAAATAACTCACACCCAAGCAAAATTTTACAAAGCGTCTGCTCACACTACAAACAGGCAGCAACAGACTTGCACCCTAACTGTGACTAAACGGGTCTCTCTGGCGTTTCTGACTGTGCCATCAGCAAGCACAGTGTTCAGGCCCAGCGTGCCCAAGAAGAGGGATTCCTCAGCCCACTTCCTCTCAGCTGCACACGCTTAATATTTTGCCAACACATTACAGACCCCCAGGAGCTGGCAGCATCATGCATTTATCGCAGAGTCCTCATCTGCACCGTCTGTGCCTACATCACAGAGCCGCGGGCCGCGTGACGAACGGGACCTCGTTTCACGGGGGGGGGGCACAGATCTTGTGCCAGCTTGGCGCTCTTTGGATTACACACTGCTGACACGGTGCAGAGCTGGACTCAGTCATAGCCAGGTCCCTGCGCTCAGAGCCCAGAGGACACTTCTGCAGCACAGTGCGAGCGCCTGCTCCTCTGGCTGTCCCTTTCTCTGGGAGTCATTAATGCAGAACAACACCCTATCCAGGCTACAGAATGCAAACTGACTGACTCTGCCCTTTTCATGGGGGATCGGGTCCTCTAGGTCATCGAGGCTCTCGATAAAAAACGACAGTAATAAGATGAAAAGGAAAGAGAGACTGCGATGTGGAGAGGAGGACAGGCTCAGTGAAAGAGGAAAGGAAAGAGACTGCGATGCGGAGAGGAGGACAGGCTCAGTGAAAGAGGAAAGGAAAGAGACTG